TTCCAATCCTTTTTATTGCTCAATACTACAGTAAGGTGTCTCAAATTGAACATTCTTGATATGCCATCCACTGGATGTTGGGGAACTTGAATTTTGAATGTGTACCATGCTCTTGAGTTGACAATTACCCCCCTACTTTTCCGCTAATGAATCTAATCATTGTAACATTGGCATACCTACCGATGATAATGTGCAGTGGTTTTAGGTCTGGAAGGACCTCCATTGCTGCAGTTAGATATGCTCTCATGGCTTCTGTGATGCAGAAGCATGTCAGTCTCTGCCATTTTTTATATGTTTTACCTTGCTGTACATTGTTCTATTATTGTGTAAGCCAAGCAACTTTTTCTTCAACCATCTCGTAACGGAGGTTGGCAATCACCATGGCTACTTTGATTTTACTTGCGGCTGCTCTAAATAATCCATTCGACGTCAATCCATACCATTCTCTGAGGTTCTTCAGCCAGGATGTTCGTCTTCTGCCCCGACTACATCCTCCTTGGATTTTTCCTTCCATAATATTCTGGAGCTATTGGTATTTAGGACCTCTTATAACATGTGCAAAATATTCTAATTTTTTCCTCTTAAGGGTTTTATGTATTTCTTTTTCCTTGTTCGTACGGCGCGGCATAACACCTCGATATTTGTAACTCTATCGACCCAAAAAATCCGTAACATGCGACGATAACACCACCTTTCGAAAGCACCAGTTTGTTAGTTTCGGCTGTTTTAAGGATCCACGCTTCGGCATCATACAGGTCGAAAACACGAAGCAGCTCCGATGCTTCGTGTTTATTATTCATTCTTATTCTTAAATCTTTTTTAATTCTTAAGTTTCTTATTCATTCTTATTCTTAAATCTGTAGTGCAAAGAGTTTTTTTAGTTTAAAAAAAAGAATTTCTGGCTATCTCAATCCTGGGCAATCAATCCCAAGTATTTGTAGTGTTGGACTTTTTCTGTTGGCGTGTTGTCTATTGATATTGAAGTACTTACATTTTGTTATTTTGTAACAATCATGAATTTTGTTTTCTTTAAATTCATATTCACCCATATTGTTTGCAGGATACATTTATTCTTTGAAGTAGTTTGGTTCTGCAGATCTTTACTATTGTCTGTCATTACCACTGCATCGTCAGCGTATCTGATATTGCTGATTCGTTAACCCCCATTCCTTTGATTCCCTCATCTCCCTCTTCCAAAGCTTTTTGAAAGATGGCTTCACTATATATATATTGAAAAGGAGGAGAGACAAGATGCATCCAGGGATGCATCTCCTCCTTGGACGTACACCTCCTTGTATTTCTCTCTAATCTAATCTGATCTATTTGTCTCTAATCTAAACTGATCTGAGCGGTCTGTCCCCAATACAGTCGCTATCAATCTCATATCTTGACTATCAATATTCCACCAAGCAACTGCTCCATAGGTAATCATGAACCTTGCTATCATGGTATACATACAGCGTTAGGGGCGCAGTCCCATCTAATTCTCGCCAGTTTCCTGTATATCCTGAGAACATTTGTGGCTTTGGCAATGTTCTTAATATAGTAGTATAGTTTTATAGAAAGTAGGTACATCAAATTAATATTTTTTTATTAATTTGCTTGAACACCAAGAAATTAGAAAACGAATTCTTTGCCCAATTCAATTCCAAAAGGCTCGTTTATGAATGAATGGCAGACGGACGACGAAAACCCGTCCCGGTTTTGTTATTTTGCGTGGAGAGCGGAAGGATCTTGACATTCGAAACGACGAAAACGTTTTCCGTCAGCGTGAACTTTTCATTTAAAATTACAGCCAATACGGCCCACACGCTATCGAAACTAAACGTAAATATTTTGATTAATGCCTTTCGCTCCGTCGATATTTCGCCTCATTATCGGTTCTTGCCTGGGCTGAATCGTGGGCTGCTTCAGTGGCGGAACAAAAGGGTTAACTATAGCCCTAGAGTATATAAATCAATATATAAGCAATATAAAAATAAATCAGTACCAAAACTTTTTTATATGAAAGTATTACAACTTCAACAACCCTCAACATTTTGTATTATGACAAAATACAAATTTATTTCAGCGGATGATGAAGATGACGTTATTTCCACTTCTATTAGCCCACAGTTTATATATTTAACTATTTTTTTGGTTATTTACTATACCGGGTGCGTTTCTAAAGTGGCTCACCAATTTTTTAATTCTTTCAGATGTTAAACGAGATTTGATATATTAGTATATATCTAACATATAAGTTAGGATTGATTGACGTATTTGATTTTGGCCACGGTTAAACAGGAATTGACCGAAATTAATTAAATACGCCAATCAATCTTAATTTATATGATAGACTAACATACGAATTTTTTTCTGAAAAAAAAATAGGAAAGTTAAAGGGGTGAGCCACTTTTTAGACGCACCCGGTATATATATATATGTTATATCCACTTCTATTAGCCTAGACCTTGCTAACTCTCGATTCTCTATTATAAAATTATATCATCACCCATCACATTGCTTTAAGGCCATAATTGATTTTTCTACAAACCCTTACGATACAAAAAAAATTGTAAACAAAATTATAAACAGATATCTTACAACAACATTACGAGTTTTATGTATAATTAAAAATCTATAAAAAAACTTCTTTATTTTTAAAGCTGTAAATACCAGTAAATAACTTACACAATAAAACGTTCTAATTTGGAACACAGGAAAATTTAAGATTATTTCATAATACTCGGTAATAACTCATCACACAGCCTCAGGGTTTTGACAAAATCCAGTATCTTAGACTGTTTTATAGAGGTTTCTTCTCCATCTCCTATCAGTCGTACCAAAGTTCATGGCACGAATGGTTGTCGTCTCGGTGCACTCAGTGATGAGGTGTTCTGGTATTTTCCCATTTTCCCAATAGAATCTGCATTTGCCGTTGTTTCTTAGATTCAGTCTACTGAGGTGTTCGTTGAGGAGACAGTGTTCTGGTAAAAACCCTGTGACTGTTAATATGGCTGTGTTTAAACACTCATTATTGATCAAGGAGCCTTGGAAAAATAAATTTGACCATCTAATGTTTTTCGTATGTTGGCCGCCGATTACAAGATGGCCGAATCGTATTTTTATTCTTATCTCAATTTTCAAATGGAACGAGGGAGGCTCATTAGCATAATTGGTATTTTGAGTCAAATTGTCGTTATCAACCGCATGTTACAAGCTGAAATAAACATTTTCATCGAGTGTCATTTTCTATCGAATAAAGTAAAAAAAAACACCGAGGGTGTCGTTTAAAAATCAAAAGTTGTAGTAATTTCCGGTGAAAGAGAAAGTGACCGAAAACAATTGAATACGTCAAACAATCCTGATTTATGTCATATAATAACGTACAAAATCTCGAAAACTAGCACTTTTTTTATATATAAAAGGTGCTCTTCGTTGAGTTCGAAACAGTGGTTCTCAAGATATTTACGTTTAAAGTTTCCAATATCGAAATCGACTTTAGCATTAGCGAAATCAGGAGATTAATTTATTTAAATATAAAATATAAAGAAATTTTAAATAAATTAATCATTTCATTAATACTAAAATCGATACATCGTAAACCTTAAACGGAAATATCTTGAAAACCGGCCTTTTCGAACTAAACGAAAACACTTGTTTTACTAAAAAAGTTCTAGCTTTTTATATCATTTGTTGAAATTACTGTATCTATAAGGATAAAAGAAGTACCACCAGTAGTATTCTCTACCCCAATGGAAAGTACTCTTTTAGGGCTGTAACGGAATTTTTCACAGGCCGGCCCTTTGCTTTGGCATTAAAATGTGTGTAAGAGTACCAAATTTCAGGAAAAAACGGTTAACCAATCTTATAATCCAATCTTTTCATATATTCATAGAAACTTTTTGTTTTATTTCATCTGTAAAATCACCCACCAAAGTTAGATATATTATTTTTGGACACCCTGTATAGAGAATTATATTTCAAAGCCAACAAAAAAACACTGTTTATTTCAATCAATCATTTCGCAACCAGACGCATTTCAATAATTTTATAATATGGAATTATATCTCAGGAAAATAGGTGGCTATTTTAATTTGGCTTTTTTATTACAATAATTTTAATAAATTCTTCTAAGATTTCCATTGTTTTCTTTTTTTTTATTTGCACAATATTTTACTGACTAATTTAACAAATTTAATCCCTAAAACTATTGAGCTTTTATACTTTACATTTAATAATGGTCCTTATATATACTTCGATCCTTCATATATCCTCCCTAGTTTTAATACTGAATCATTATTTGAGACATTGAAAGAAAAGCCAGATAATCGTCATAGGGGGAAACTGAATAATTAAATTTGTAGATTGTTTAATAATAGCTAGTTTATAACAGAAATTTTGCCTTATGGTATAATTGACTTTGGTTTCGCAGTCAAACGCACTGCAATAACTTTAATCTATAAAATTATATTTTAAAATTATGTATTTTATTCGGGTAATTGGTACCAGAAAATATAGAAAGGAAACGAAAGTTCACGAATCCAAATTAAATCCAGAGAGGAAATAAAATTGCCATTAAACAAGACTCCATTTTATAGCGGCATTAACTTCTTTAGCTAGGAGTTTATATATAAGGCTGACTTAACAGGAGTTTTAAACGATGATAAAAACCACCAAATAAGTTTATGAACCTCGCTGGCTTCTTTATGAGAATAGGGATTTTTACTTTGAACTAATAAAAAAATACGATTTTAATTCCAAGTTATTACTGGTTTGGGAAAAATCGAAATCCAAACGTTTGAGAGTGTGTGAATGCGCAGATATTTTAAAAATACTGCTAAATGAACAATTCCAAAGCCAAAAATAAAATATCCTTGTTTTTACCCCAAAATAGCATAAAAAAAAGATTTCAATGCTTCTATTCTATTTCACAGTTGGAAGTTTGGTTTGGTTTGATTTGGTTTTACTTTAAAAATAACCTACATGTACTACCCTAACTATAGATTACATTTTAGTGGTGCCAGGATCAGAAATGCGTGCCCATAATGGACCCCCCTGTCGCCATCGACGGAGGCTGGGGCGAATGGAGCAGTTGGTCCGAGTGTTCCAGAACATGTGGATCGGGAGTTTCCATCATGAGCAGAGAATGCGATCACCCCACTCCAACTGCTGGAGGAAAATTTTGCGTTGGTGAGAACATGAACCGTTTTTATTTAAGAGGAAACGTTTAAATTTTATTTTCTATTTTATAGGGGAACGAAAAAGGTACAGAATATGTAATAGTGATCCTTGTCCTGAAGGCGAACCAACCTATAGGGCGTTACAATGTTCGTGGAATAATAACAAAACGTACGAAGGCAAGAAGTATGAGTGGCAACCATATTTTGACCAATGTAAGTTATGACAGAAAATGGGTGATTTTATTCCTACTGAGATATAATATATTCTTTTCTCACTATAGTCATAAATTATCAGCTCATAACCTATAATAACCATATACCGTACAGATTGGACGAAATTGGTCTGTTTTAACAGTGAAAACCTATTTCCTCACTATATAGCAAAACCGACATAGATGTCAAGGGCTCAATTTCTGAGACATGTTTAATGGCATAAACAGGCTGTCAATATTTTTATTGCAAACCGAGATATATGGTTATGGGAGATTTTAAATATGGTCGAAAATTCAAAAAGACCCTGTATTTTGGTTTGCAGTGTAAATATTGAAAACCGTATACGCCAATAAACATATCTCAGAAATCGATCCTTTGACATCTCTATCGGTTTTGCTGTATCTAGTCAGCAAATAGATTTTCTTTGATAAACCACACCAATTTTGACGATTCTGTACAATATTCACTTAGCTGGAGAAGAAAGGACATGACTATTTCGCTATAGAAGTATTATTGATTCCTTAAAAACAACATGACTATCATGTATCATCGCTATTACTTGACTGTACATGATGTATATAGAACTGCGGTTCTATGTCGGTACAGTCATGCCCTTTTCTAGGATTTGACTGTAAAATATATATTTTTAGAACTTATTAATTTAAACTAACAACTTGAGTCCTAATGTACATAATTAAAAAGAGAAATCGACAATTTCAAACTGTCATTTTAAGAATGACTTCAAATTTAGCAGCTTTTATATTTCGATTTAAGCCAGTTATTGAATTTGAACTCTTACACCCTTTATATTTAACTTATATTATTATTTTTATTTAACTTGTATTTATACTCTTACACCCTTAAGATTAATGAAACAACTACACACTATTGAAAAGGTCGTCATCTTAGCAAAGTCTCGAAAAAATCATGAAAGTGAAATTGTACAAAAAGTTTGTATCAACTTAATTCTTAACAAAGAGTCAACATTATAATTTTCAGGAGTGTGATATTTGTGAACTCTTTATTAACTACCTACTTTGTTTTAACTACCTACTTTGTTTTAATATAAGAAATAAACAAAATTTCTAGATTACCAATTTTACACTACTTACTTCCAAAATAATGAAAGATATATTTTGATACATGTAAAATGTGATCAGTTAATTCAAGTCTGATATTATATTCCAAAAAATCCATGGATTTTATTTTACGTGTAGCCGACCCCTGCCAATTGTACTGTAGCGACGCCAATGAAACTCTGATTGTACCGTGGGGAGATTATGCAGCTGATGGTACACCTTGCAACGTAGTTTTTAGAGATGTGTGCATTTCAGGAATCTGCAAGGTAGGTACTCTATCTCAGATTTTATATAATAATATGTGCTTTGTAGAGACGTAGGCTTTAGAAGTAATCCTATACAGGGTGAGTCTTAAATAAGTGCAAATATTTTCTGGGCTGGTAGATCTCCATAAAAGAATCAATTTTTTTCTTTACTGTTTTTAAAATAAGTCCAAAATAACCAAGTTATTCAAGCTTGGAAATTAAAAAAAAATGATTTATTTTTAAAATATTTCAGAGGCATCGGATTTTTTCTATATTTACATCTTTTTTAGTACCGTAACCGTAGAGAAAAGCCGTAACCATGGTTATTAGATATTGAGAAATTATATCATGAGAAAATTTGCGGTGAACAGGCATTTCTAAAAAGTTTTCTAAAATATACAGGAAAATTAAAAAAAAAATCTCATAGACGAGAAAATATACCACTCATAAAAATATTTGCACTTATTTAAGCCTCACTCTGTATATTCCTCAGAATTTAGTCCTTATTCATTGAAAGAATATGCAAGGTGACAATAGAAAAATAATAATCGAGAATATATTTTTGAAAAAATAAAATCATAATAAGATTTCAAAAATTTCGTAGAGTAACCGTAATATTTAGCCTCACTTCTTAGTTGGTAGATAGATACTTTAATGTTCTTTTAATACTAACCAGCTTTGTGTAATACATTGTTAAAAAGTTAATTACTTTCTTTTTACAGTTTTGTAGGAAAATCTAAAATCATACGATTAGTTTTTGAGGTATAAATGTTTGGAAGTAAGCAGCATTTTGAAAACTTAATACTTTACTATTTTTGACTGACAGCAAAAATGTTTTAATTCTTTTTTTTAAATTGCAATATTAATAATAAATTAACCTTTTCTTTAATAACAACCACACAGAAAACCAAAGGTACAACTGACTTACATGAATACTATATCATAAATCAGATTGCAGTAAAGATAATAAATATTTTTTTATAGAAAGTAGGGTGTGACTGGGTGGTTGACTCCACAGCTAAGGAAGACGAGTGCGGCATCTGTCAAGGAGACGGCACCAAGTGTGACATCACCAGAGGGGAATATAAAAAGCAGAGTGGAGTACCTAGATCAAGGGAAATAGTCGTAATACCACGAGGAGCGCGAAATATCCTGGTGGAGGAAAACGGCCAATCTGAAAATTACATCGAGCTATCAAGTGCAGTGGAGAAAAAGTTCTACTTAAATGGTAACAGGTTAGTTTGTATTTTAGTTCATTCATAACTGAAGCCAAAATGATTAATATATGGAAAACAAAGATAACCTTATGTCTTTTTTAACAAGCCTCCCCCTAGATAAAACTTGTCAACGTAAGATTAATTTCATAATATACCGGCTTTCAAAAATCTACTATTTAAATAAGTACCTACTCAAACAGTCTACTATTCCCTCGACTATTCCAGAGACTGCTTTAAATTGTTTTGCATTGTATCCTCTCAATTCCGGATATCTCCATTTGATTTGATATTAAACCTCTATTAAATCTGACCTTTAGCAAATACAATAACATTCAATTCTAAAATAAATGCAAATCTAAAAAAGTAGAAAAAAGACTCAAAGTCTCGGTCTCAACGTTTATATAATGTTAAACTGTTACACGTGTTTCGCTCATATACTAGCATCATCAGACCTAAGAAGAAAGAACCTAAATAAATAACAAATAATAATAATAAAAAGGTCGTCATAACTTACACCTTTTTAATATTTGTTATTTATGTAGGCTCTTTCTTGTTAGATCTGGTGATGCTCGTATGTGAGCGAAACACGTGTAACAGTTTAACATTATATAAACGTATAGAGACTGAGACTGAGTCTTTTTTCTACTTTTTTAATTTGAACCAGGTCTCTTTGAGAAGAATGGACGCCTTCTTTAAATGTAAATCTGTTTTGTTGCGCCTCTGGCCATTAAAAACCAACTTTGCTTTTTCTACTAGTAATTTGCTTGATTAAAATAGAGTTGCTATACAGGGTGAGTCTTAAATAAGTGCAAATATTTTTATGGGTGGTATATTTCGACCCCAGGAACACGTCTATGAGTTTTATTTTTCAAAAAAAAGATGTTGAAAATCGTGCATTTTCTTTTAAATTTCCCGGTATACTTTTTGAAAACTTTTTAGAACTACCTGTTCACCGCAAATTTTCCCACAGTATAATTTCTTAACCTCTGATATTACCATAGTTACAGCTTTACTCTATATGGTTACTAAAATTGATGCAAATACAGAAAAAAGCCAGTGGCTCTCAAAATTTTTCCAAAAAAAATCAATTTTTTTAAAATTTTCAAACTTAAATAACTCGGTTATTTGGGACTTATTTGAAAAATGGTAAAGAGAAAATATGTTTCTTTTATCGAGATATACCAGTTCGGAAAATATTTGCACTTATTTAAGACTCACCCTGTATTATTATGTAATTTCCCTTTGGTTTCTCCTTATTGAGTATTTATTTTTTAGCTGTTTTATTGTCAACTTTGATTGTTTTTGTCTAGATTATAAATAATTTTTAGGTTTCAATATGTATATTTATAAATCTCGGTATAACTTTTGCTGTAATACACAAATTACATTAAGTTTACTTATTAAGCACCATATGATAAAAAAAACGGCGTCAAAGGCGATTGAGAAATGACAATCGAAGATAATTTTGGGCGAGGTCTATCTCTAGATACCATTTAATAAAAATTCACATAAAACTTGTCAAAAATTAATACTAAATAGAAAGCTAATAAAAGGATAAAACGTTTCCAAAAACACAAATCTATTACTAAAAAATATTTTTTATCGAATTTAAATCTACGCCATTTAAAAATAATATTTACTCAATATAAAAATAAATTAATAAAAAAATAAATTAAATAACAATATAAGAGAGGGGAAGATCAAGAAAACGTCATTAGGAAGAACGTGTTAAAATAATAGATCACGATAGAACAGCAAAATGGACGCAACTACCTAACAGGCCATCAAAAAGATGGTACGAAAGATGGACGTCCGGATCACAAGAAGCTTGAATAGCTGTTTTACACCGTGATTGCAAGAAAAAGAAGAAAAATAATTACATACTTCTTAAGGCCAACTGGCCGTATCGCCATTAAAAAAAATAATTGTGTGCATATTTGAAGTGAAACTTGTTTTGTTTGAAGTGAAACTTGAAAATTTGTTCTTATTTCCGTCTGTCCGTCTGTCCATCTGTCCGTCTGAGGATCCCATTCGGGTACCTCTATACACGTGTCGAGTTTGGTTCCTATTGACCCATAATTAAGAAAAATCCTGATGATTTCGTCTATTTAGAGTCATCGCATCGGTTTGAAACGTTGAGAGCGTCATCCTGTAGTCCATCCCCAATTATGCCAAAATCGACAAACATTTTTCTTCGAAATCAAATCCTTACTCCCACCCTGATGAAGATGTGAACGAAACAACCTGTGAACGAAACGTCGTATCCAGCTCCAAGGTGGAAATATGTGCACGTCGCTCACATAGTCCACCCACCAACTTTGACGTTTCTTGACATAACTTTTGACGTTTCTTACTTAAAAACTAACTGTCACAGTGACACCTGTCGTACACGGTCAAGTTGGCCTTGGTCCAATCTATCGACATACCAAATTTCATTTAAATCGGACGATTTTTTCTAAGCCGTAGGCTGTCCTTACCACTTTTAACCTCGTGTGTCATGTGTGTGTCGTGTCGTATCACGGTCCTGAGTGTTTTACTCTCAGCGCGCGTAAAGAAGTTTCACTTCAATAAAAAAGAATACAGGCCAAGTAAATATCATATAAGCCGCGTGTAGATGATGCGAGGAACCGCGCCAGAAACCTCGTGCGTGAAGTGCATTCGTGACTCGCATTTCGAAACTAATTAACATGGATAAGTGAACAGTAGCCACTATTTGAGTTCCTATGCAAGTCTTATTCGAGACCTTCTCGTCCGTAGTTTCTCGCACCGTGTGCTCCAAACAATTAGGTTTAACCTCACCAAAATTATCATCGACTGTAATACCCCAGCCTTCTCTGACGCCGTTTTCTTTTATCTTCTGGTGTTTTTACAGCTAATTATTTTCTTTCAGACACATTACACTCCCTGGTGAATATAATGTAGCCGGAGCTCAGGCGTTGTACGAGAGGGATCACAGTCTAGAGAAAATTCGGATTCCCGGACCAATTCACGAGTCTATTGTAGTTTCGGTATGTTACACATTAGTTTTATAAGTTATATTAATTAATTTATAGATTAAGATCATCACTAGACTTATTATACCCGAAGGGTAACAAGAACTGTTTATATTTGTGGACAAAATGAGTATTAGTATAAGTTCATACCAATTAAACTTTTAGTCACGTAATTAAGCTTGACCGGCACAGCGTTGCCCACTTTTACATATTTTCTTTTAATCAAACTATTTGATGAAACAATAATAAATTAATTATATATAAACAGTTATTATTTACATCAACAAAACTCATCTTCTTAACGGCCCTTAAGAAACATAAAGGGCCATTACTACCCCTTTCCCATTCCATATTCTAATAAGTTTGCGATGAGTTTTTTGCATTGGCTATTAAGCTGTCTTGTACACTTCGAACAAAAACAGATTCTAAAAAGAACAATGTTCGACTGCAAGATCTGCTAGTAATTTTTTTTATCATAAAGTATCACAACACAGTTCATTTAAACCAAAAACTCGCAATACAAAACTAAAGTGTCAGAAAATAAATAAATAAATGTAGCAACTTGACAATTTTTACAGCATAGTTACCATCTGAATCCCCAGCGGGAAATTTAAATTCCAGTTAGTTAGTCCGGCGCCGAATATGGTCATGGTTGGCAACACTGAATTTAAAAATCGCGCCCTCGATTACGTAACTAAATGTTTAATTGGTATCGTTTATAGCTTCCTAACACCCGCGATGCATAATAAAGTCACGGATCGACTTGACGAGGCAAGGTGCTTCAACCATATAGTACCTAAAAGTGTTAATCAATTCCTACTAGAGGTGTTAACCATAAAGTTTATTATCTTACTAACGTGTACCAGCGACTTCGTTCGCGTCGAATTAATCATTTGTAATGGTGATGATAAAGCAAAGCAAGAATTTCCATTAACATACAAACTGGATAAAATTTTCTCACATTTATGTCAGCATGCGAAAAAACAATATGGCGATATTATTATATAACCTGGTAATATTTGAGGGGTAGTTTCATCTTGTTGGAATTTAACTTTTGAAAAATCCGTTTGCCAAAAATAAGCTTTTTACGTCAAGCAGTTTAAGCAGAATCGTGGTTAATCAATTACCCAACATTTTGGAACACCCTGTATGATTTTTTAAAAAATTTCATAATATGTAAAAAAAAAACAAATAAATTATGCTTGTCCAAGCATTTTCCCGAAAGACTAACCGTTTTTTAAATAACAAATATTGTAATATTTGAGGGGCGTTTTTACCCTCTTGGAATTTGAGATTCGAGAAACCCCTCCTTATCGAACCTCTACACCCCGCCGTCAATCCGTTTACCAAAAATAAGCCTTAAACGTCAAGCAGTTTAAGCAGAATCATGATTACTCAATGGTCATATTTTATGAAACACCCTGTATAAATTTATAAAAAATCTTAAAATATGTAAAACAACAAAATAAAATATACGTGTTTAAGAGTTTTTCCGAAAAACTCACCGGTTTTTAAATAAAAAAATAATTTAATATTTCAGGGATAGTTTCACCCCCTTAGAATTCGAGTTTCGAAAAATCCCTTCTTATCGAACCTTTACACCCTAAAGTCAATCTGTTTTCCAAAAATCAGCTTTTTACGTCAAGCGCTTTAAACAGGATCGTGATTAATCAATGACCAGATTTTTCGAAACACCCTCTATACATTTTTAAAAAATCTTAAAATATGTAAAAATACAAAATAAAATACACGTGTTTAAGCGTTTTTTCGGAAACTTGACCGTTTTTTAAATAAAAAATATTGTAATATTTGAGGGGTGGTTTCACCCTCTTGGAACTGGAATTTCGAAAAATCCCTTCTTATCGAACCTCTACAGCCTAGAGTCAACATGTATGCCAAAATTGAGCTTCTTTGAGTGGTTTAGCAGGATTTTAGTTAACGTTGAGTGCTTTGAGCAGGATCGTGATTAATCAGTATGTCAGTCATTTAAGGATTTTATATATTACTATAGATTTGGTATAAGAACTACGAAAAAATGTTAAATGGGAAAAGTTTTAGGGAATATTAAAATACGAATTCTAATAGTATATTGTTTTATTAGGAGTAAAAATAATACTTTTCGTGTCGAGGCTGTACATTTGACATTGAGATGAGGCACAAAAAGTAATTGTACTCCGAATGGAACATGCTATTTTTCTCAAAAGCCACAAATCATTTTTTAAACAATTTCAAACGTTCCAAATAATATAAAAAATATTTAAAAGTCATACCTTGTATCTAATTATATATCGAGAAACTATGGTTACGCTCGTTGAATTTGACACTTTCTGTCTGTTGAATAATATATTTACGTACTTTTATGCTTAGGCGTAATAGTACGAGAGCTAGCAACGTCGGAAAACAAGTATTTTAAGGCAGCTGGCTCTTTAATATATCGTTTACCGGGACCGTCTTTCGAGACCGGGTTGGGGTAAAACCTTTTTTATTTTATTTTCGTTTATATTCTGATAGTAAAGTATTAAATAATTCTGGTGATCAAAAAAAAAATATATTTAATACTTTACTATCAGAATATAAACGAAAATAAAATAAAAAAGTTTTTGCCCTGACCCGATCTCCAACTTTGAATCCTCGGTTCGTAGTCGGAAACTCTACGCGCTGCACTATGGAGACTTGTTCGATTTATATTCAATACTAGAATTTAACGGACTAAATAAAAAAATATAGGATCTTCTTCCGATGCGCAGTAGTGAACGCAATGGGTATCAGCCGTCAGATGGGCCGCATGCTGTTTCAGAGAGCATAGTAAAATATATATATCAAAGAGCCAGTTTTCTTAAAATAGGTACTTTCTCGAAAACGTTGCTAGCTCTTAGACTAAATATTTCTGGGAAACTTAAATGGAAACGACAGTTCATTAAACAACGTTTTTCCTCCAACCACCAGAATAACCAAAATTCAAAAACTGTCAATATCAAAAAAGAAAATGTCTAATACACGAGATGACTTTATTGTGTTTTTACGCTTTGATTTGGTTCTAAAAGTGCGTTACTTTTATACCTAGGCGTTAAAATGACTTTTTTATATTGTCAATCACGTCGCAAAAATTAATACTTTTGTGACGTTAGAAAAAATAATATATTGTTTTTTTAAGAGTAAAAATGACACTTTTTGTGGCAAGGCTGTACCTTTGACATACAGACGAGGCACAAAAATTAATTTTTACCCCAAATAGAACCTGTTGCAATTTCGAACGTTCCAAATAATATAAAAAAATTAAAAGTAATTCCTTGTATGTAATTATAATTATATATCGAGAAACTATGGTTACGCTCGTTGAATTTGACACTTTATGTCAGTTTAATAATATATTTTCGTACTTTTGTGCTTAGGCGTAAAACTACTTTACTTTTATGCCTAGGTGTTAAAATGACTTTTTTATATTGTCAATCACGTCGCAAAAACTAATACTTTTGTGACGTTTGAAAAACGAATTATTTTCGTGTATACTTACAGAATATTTCAAAAAATTTTGGCGGATATAACGTTGACATATTTATTTACTGATATATTGATTAGTTTTGACAGTTGAGTTTTGTATTACGAGTTTATGGTTTAAGTGAAATTCTAAACTGAAAATTTTGTACTAGCAGACCATGCAGTGGAAAATTGTTGTTTTTAGCTTATAATATTATGTACTGTATATACAGTACATGATATATGGTAATCGCAAAACAATTTCCGATGGACGTGATCAACTTTGAGTGACAAGCGATGGCGACAGCTCTGCCAGATTGTGATGGATTTATGAGATGAATCTTAATTTAAAATTGACAAACAACATGTTCATTATATCATTTTGAAAGACTTTTACGTTTTATTTTTAATTTAATAAATAATATTTTAGTGATTAATTGATTTATTTGTTTTATAGCTTATTTTATTTATTACATACTGGCAAAAACTAGTCCATTATGAAGATTATTATAAGCGTTATTATGGGTTATTTATTTATTGATGTACATCATACAACGCCATAAGTGGTAATAACAAGTAAGAGGGTGCTATTAATGCACAAACTAATAATCATAGAATTTAATAAAAACTAACTTTGAAAGTGGTATAATGTACTTATCAAGCTTACTTTTCTGACTGTAGTCAAGGGTAATAAAGGACCTTTATTATCACGTTCTCGTTTAAAATAGTTTAAAAAAAAACAGGGAAGCTACAAGCTCTTTGCTTCGACTGTTTAAATGCTTCGGCATATTTTCAACACACAAATTTCAAGAAATGCGATACAAAAACTCGAAAATTTAGTTCTTCAAAGAACTGTTTATGCTTAAAAGTGCAATTTTTAATAAAAGACTATGAAAATAGGCAAAAAAACGAGAATTACTCACAAAGATTCAACAACATAATATTGAACACGACATTATACAAAATAATCACTGACACTAGGATAATTGTCAAATAATATAGAACAACATTGCTGAACACGGCGCAATGTGACCGACATAGCGATAATAAAATTCGGTTTAAACTAATTTTTCCAGCTTTAATCTAAATAAAATATATGTCAGAATCATTTGTTCTATAAAGTAAAATGAAGAGCTGCTCGGTATCTTAAATTATACAACAAATTTAAACATTTTTGCCAAAATTTCATTTACTCAGGTTCATAGACTTTAGTGTCAATATCGAAATGATTGATGACGTGCATCGGAAAATATTTTGCGATTACATAAAATAATAGTTAGAATGGAAATCTATGTAAGGATTATTTTTTTAATTTAGCAGAGTAACAATTTTCTCCCGAAAATGCTAAATTAAGTTGAAATAAAAAAATGATTAAATGTAGAGTTAAATTCTCTAACTAAAACCACCTAGTCACTCCACGGGCGCCATTAGAATTATACTCGCCTGAAGAAACATAATACTGTATAGAAACCATTTGTTCGAAACACGCGTGTGCCTTATACATATTTGAGGGTCGATATCGAACCAATTAATACCAGATAAGTTAATTGAGGCGATTGGCAAACACGGGCATCAGGGTCGTAGGTTAAGGGCCGATTTTCGATACCTCTCTATTTCTTAATTCAATTACATGTTGTTTTTGTTCGGGAACCCCGCAGGCTTATCTCTAACTGGAAATTAACCGTGGGATATCGGTTCGTCGTTTGCGATGATTTAATTTGTGGATTGGGTCCAGATAATCCGTAATTTGATACATTTGGTGATTTTCGAGTTAAATACATAAATAATGATTATTCTAGAATGGATATTTCGATTTGACTTAATATTAGCTCTATAATTATAGATAGAAGTTGGCAATGTTTTATTTTGAAACCCACCATTGTTTTTATTCTATTTACTGTTTTCCACATTTACTATATTTTGGATAATCATGTATCCTCCGGTATCAATAACCGGCATATTAAGAAATATGCTGTATGTCCCCGGATTGTCTTTGCAAGAGGAAAAACTTTTTTATTATTGACATATTGGGAAAATTGCATTCTTCATTAAAAAAAAACTTCCTCGTCTTCTTCCTTCTCTATACAGGCTGTCCCAGAAATAAGTGCAAGTATTTTAACTGGTAGTATAGTTCAACCCCAGAAACACGCCTATGAGGTTTTTTCGCGAAAAAAAAAATTGTGGCCTTTGTAGTCCTTTTCTAATAGTTAGGTTATTACATTCTCCACTCCTATCCTATTCAAAATCTCTAATAACTTGGAGACTTTAAACTCCATATACCCCTTTGTCGATGGCTTACGATGCATAAAAACCGCACATTCGCCAGGCTGTAGCATTGATATAAAATACGTTCTATCGTTTCTTCTACAGATTGAGAAAAACTCAGCTTTAGATATTTATTAAGCTCACAATGTCCTGTTGTAGACCAACTACAGCTTTGACGGACTCCCAGTCTTTGCTTATCAGATCTGCCGTAAATTTTAAAGAATGTTTTCCTATGATTTTTTTGCCTGTCTCTGCTATGGTAAATTTCTTCACCATTCTAGAGATTTATTGGCCATTAACTCTTTAGTGGGCATTCTTGTAACTGCTTTTGCAGCGTAACAGAAGATATGAGAACTTATGAGTGACACTTATATGAACTTAGGAGTGACACTGATATGAACTTATGAGTGAGACTGATGAGTCTAGTAGGGCTATTTTATCTGCCTTTTCGTTACCCTTGTAACCCTCGTATATTGGTACCCAGGCTAACGCAGAAATGTATTTGGATTATACAAAATCCAAAACAACCAACCCAATGTATTTAGATCACACTAGTCTATAACTGATCTCTATGAAACCAAATGTCTTTAGCTTTGCTTGACTGTTAACAAAAATGGAAACTGAATGGTGTGTTTAACTTATACTCACAGATTAAAAGAGAAATGATTAAAGAGTTAAGTTAGGTTAGGTTGCTAGAATCCTGTTTGAACCCTCACTCGGAGGCCATTGCGATACCCTTGTATTATAGTATACCAAACCTTTCTCTCATTATTTCTTTCTATTTCCAGCTCTTTGCAATGTTTGATACCCTTGTGTGCAAAGAAAAAAAATGCAAAGATTTGTAGCGTCGGGCAGTGGCACAGCAGATGCTCCATGGTTTCTTCTTCCTCTCCGTATTTTCTGCAGTAGTCGTCGTAGGAAATCTTCCATCTTGGTTTATCTTTCACGTTCTTTCCACTTGTCTCTTGCTGCTTGGCCTTGATGGTAATTTCTATAGATTGAGTGCGTTAGTCGTCACAGGTGGTGGGTCATATTCGACGACTTCTCCTCTGGTCCCCTCTGGCGAGTCCCTCCGCCTCCTGGTTACCCACCCCATTACTGTAGCTTTTCACTCAGTACAGAGTGTTCCAGAGTGACCTCGCCTTTACGCAGACAGGACATTTCTTCTCAACAGTCCATCACAGTTTTCGATCTTACTACATAGTGATGCTTCTTAGAGCGCCCAAGCCGTCATATAGGAGATAACTCCTATTGGCCGCTTCTGTTAAAACGAAAGCATCTGTTTGTATAACATTTCAACCATCCGAGATCCTTGGAGGTCGTTGGATGTCTACTTCCTCTGAGAAACTGCCTATACCTGTGCTTCCTAAAGACACGAAGGCGTCTGTATAGACTGCTACCACTTTAGTACTACTAGGTTGCTTTCCACTTCTTCTCTTGTCGGGATTCTGGGTTTTCTGGGCAAGCGGATGATTTTTCCCCATGATTTTTTCTATCATTGGCAATATCTTGTTCTTGTTTAAATATGGTAGTTTCTTTGGTTTTTCACAAATTGGATTATTTTAATCTTAGTGAAAGCTGGAGTATTAGAGAATTTATTTTTGACATTAATGTAAATAATAATGTTACATCAGCAAAGTTTGGACCTAATACAAAAAATCGTAAAGGGGTATCGTTAAATGACAAAACATATTATTATAAAAGACTAATATTCTAAAAAGGAATGCCTTTGCCACAAAGCTTTACCAACAACACAAGGGTATCAAAATCTTCTAAAGTCCATAATATAATTACAGTTTTTGTACGAAATCGAACGTTGTAAACAAAATGTTTGTCTTTGAATTTCAATGTAGATTTTAATTAATTAATGTTTCATAATGCTTCGGAAATCCATACATATTTTTTAGAATAAATAAAAAATTCTGTCCCTTTTATTTTCTCTCAAAACAGAAAATATGGAGATAAAGTATGGAATGATAACTACTAAGGAGTTCATAATATTGTGATTTCATCATATAATATATCACATAGGGTAGAATTTTTTAAAAATAATTGTTTTATTTCATGTGGTGTCTACTGAAATACCTTTTCTTCTTAAAGAAAATATAAAAAAAATATTTATTTTTTTAAATTTTTATTAGCAAAGATTAACACATGTGAAATTTATTCAAGCAATGAATTTGATTTCAGATAATCTTTAGAGGCAAAGTATACAATCCCGGTGTAACATGGAAGTATTCCATGTGGAAACCTGAAGTTGTAAAACAAGTCAACTATAGCTGGATCATGGAAGAATGGTCCCAGTGTTCGTCTACATGTGGAGGAGGTAAATTTATGTTTAATTTATTTACGTAGGCTTGAAAATATAAGAAATACGTACTATTACTATTTGCCTAACTATTAAGGAGAAAATTTGTTTTGATTTAAAATAGATAAAAAGAAACTTTGTTTGATTTGATAATAAACAATGTATGGAATATTATGCATTAAATTTGGGCCCAACCGGCTAAAGTCTGCCGGCTGAAAAGGTAAATCGGTGAAAGAAAACGCATCCTTGATACTTGCGCACCTTACGTCCAAGCAAAATTATGTTTTAGAATATACAAAAAATTACGAATAAAAGGGTTATGGTGCTACTAAAATCAAAGCAATCAAAACTCATTCGTGCAACTAAAATAGCGACAAAATTTCATGGTACGCGCTGAAAATGAATGGAAGAAGGTTTTTTATTGACACGAACATCTAAGTAGAACGTTCGCGAAAAAACTAGTTCCAATAAACTATTCCGACTCCGGAATGAAAGGAACTAGTTTCTGGTTTCTTATAAGACTAGTTCTTCAGAACTCATTTGCTCCGCAAATCCGGGGACCGAGACTGGGACCGAGGTATAATAATAATAATCGACGGCGACGGATCGGCCAGCGCGATCGTAACCCGATGTTAGGCGTATGTTGCCAGTTCCGGACCGAAAGGAACTAGTGGAACTAAATAAAAGACTAGTTCACGCAAAGACTAGCAGACCTATTCTGTCCGCAGTTCCGACCGACGACGATGGATCCGGTCTTGTCTGTGGCTGCGGGCAGCGTAATAAAGACAGAAAATTGGCATGGATACTGTTTTTAGTTTTTAGTTGGTTCTTTGAATATTTTATGGGTATGGTTCACTTCTGATCTTTCAAATTAAGAAATATTTTATAAAATCAAGTGGATATTCAGCCTTTTTAGACAAAAATAAAGAGATTGTTGGGTTAACTACGGCAACCCTGTAAGGTGCAGTTAGAAAATGGACTGGTCCAAGAGAGTCCAAGAGGGGAGGACGCAGAAGAAGAACATCTTTTGACCTTTGAAAGACATTATCATTTTACTTAACGTGAAATTCAAATAATATTGACGCTTATACATAAGTTTTTTGGTCCTTCGAACCCGATATTTGGCGAAGAATTTGGAAAAACAGCAACTACAATTGACAACGCAATTTAATGGTTTTTATTAAACCCTGCCGCTAATAAATTTGGTCACATGCTTGTGTAAAATGCAACAAGCAAAATGTTGACGTTCAAATAAATGTCGAGTTTTCCCTGCAAAAATAAATAGAAAAATCGATTTTAATAGGTTTTAAGACATATTTGTGAGATATTTGTTACGTTTTACAAAAAACCTTCTGGGTATTTCGCCACTTGCACTGCAAGAAAGTCTACAATTTTTTATCTTTTTTTATTTGTTATGTTCCTGTTACTTTTGTTAAGTTAAATGTTTCTGTAATTAAAGGTAAAGTTTAATTAATACTCTTATAAGTTTACATTTTTGAACCTTTCCTAATGTTATATAGACATTCTATAAAATGCCCAGGTATTTCATGAAATGTCTAGATAAAGTATATAAAAATATTTAAATTTCATAGATTTCTGAAATCGTGTAAATATATTAACGTACAAATTTGCATTCATATCATCATAATTAGTAATTACGTCCAAACTACAAGAATTTGTTGTCTTAAAACTATTCGCAATTTTAGTTAAATCGTACTGTTATTGATGACAATATTTTTATTGTCTTAAATAACATTTTATTTATTTAATTTTCTGCGATTAAAGTATTACCTGTCTGTATCAAATTTACGTTGAATAAAAAAAATGTATCAGAAAGTATATCTTTCAAATATACTTACGTGGAAACTATACAAAGGTAAACGTGCGTGACTTCCATAAATAACTACTCCACTTAAATGAGTTTTATCTAAATTCAAATAAGAGCTGAGGCACGGTATGTTTGATTACAGAAAACAGGCTATATACAATTAGAATGCAAGTAATTGAATATATAGAAAAGCAATAAGTATTTAACATAACATTATAACTGAATATTCATTTAAAACAAACAATACACAGTGTGGCCTTTATTTAATATAAATAGTTTTTCTTCATTTTTCAATAGGGTTTCTCAAAGTAAATTGAAATAATCACCAATTTTGGTACATTAGTTTTTCGTTATTGCAATTTGACTACCGTAGAGTGGGAACCAACTAAGAATATGCCACGAGCGTCATCACTTGGGCATCACATGCGCATCGTTTGGCTCCTTAAGAGAAGGCGATCGTTGCTCTGTGACGCTAGTAGCCACAGTTATATAAGTACCAGCCGATGAAGTGTATCCAACCATTCCGGGTAGATGGCAAAAAGCACACTTTTCGCGTTTGGCCGGCTATACCTACAGGGTGAGTCTTAAATAGGGCAAATACTTTTAGGGGTTGTATATTTCGATCTTAGAAATCCATCAATGAGGTTTTTCTAACGGATTTTTTTGAAAATTCGGAATTCTGAAAAAAATTGGAAATGTTTTTAATTTTAGTTAAAAACATAATATCTTCATAATATGGCAATGTAGTAGATTGAATTTACAAAAAGAAAACCCAAAAAGATACAGTGCTTCTCATAATTTACGCGAAAATCATTTTTTAAATTTTTGAAGTAAAATATCTCGGTTATTGTGGACTTATTTGAACAACGGTAAAGAGAAAATATGTTTCTTTTATCAAGATTTACCACGCCTGAAAATATTTGTACTTATGTAAGACTCACATTGTATATTTGATTATATTATGTTACTTAACCAGTCATATCGTGCTGGCAACTGCTACTTTTGGGTCGGTATTTACATGTGTGGAAATAAGTCGCATAGGGATCTTATTAAGTCAGAGTGAGAGAAATGCGACGGTGTGCTGTTGCGGCAATGCCGGTACCCAATGAAGTACCCAAGTAAAGTGAAATCACGTTCGCAAACCGCTTAGTTTTAAAAGATTTCTTTTCGGAAAGATATATATCGAGATATTTAGAAGATTTTTGATAGATTTTGAGATATCGATTTTTGAATTCAGAGTTCTAATAGCGCGACCACTGTCGAACACCAACTCAATTCCACTTATTTTTACCAAAAAGGCAAGTGTTTCTAACTTGCATTTAAAATTTTTCAAGCTATAGAGAAAATTACAACGACTCGTTAATAAATAAACAAATAAAGTATCACGAGACGTAATTAAATCGTGAAGCTGAACGCATGATGTACACCTTTCCCTAGAACGTTAAGTACTGACAGAGGTACTGATTGGGTCAACCGGTAGACTGTGACAAATCTGCTATATCCCCTTCCACGTATCCTCGCAATGCGCACAGTTTCTCGGTTTATTTCATACTTTTGGCAACGTGTTTACTGTTCTCTCTTTGTTCAGTACATTATAAACGCATTGTACTTTTCTTACATACGGAAATCTCGACCCAAGACTAACATTTGCCAGCCCTCAGTATACTGAGCTATATTGATTCTTGTATTCTGACTATTCGCATGTGTAGTAAAATAAACTAAGTAGGTTGGACGCAGACACTCTCGAACACGCAAATTTGGCCGGTTGGCGCTGAATACTCTCAGGCTCTAATTTAAGAAATACAATTTTGTTTATAGGTGTTCAATTTAGAAAGCCTCTCTGCCAAGAAAGAACAATATCTCCAGTTGCTTCCGATCTAGAAAGTCCCAATATAGTAGCGGAAGAACTGTGTGATTATCTTCCAAAACCAAAGGAGAAAACTAGGATATGTAATGCTGATCCATGTCCATATAAATGGTGGATTGGTCCATGGCAGTCTTGCCCAATAACTTGCCATAATGGAGTAAGTATTGATACATATTTGTAATTTGATTTTTTTATTGTACTAAGTTAATTATTGTTAACGGGAAAAGATGTTTACATATTGAATTAATGTTTGGATAATATTTTCCATTATTATATTTGTTGAATAGATTACTTTAAGGTACATTTCTAATTTTTGTTATATAATGGGAATAAGAATTATGTACACCTAATTTAAATTGTAGTAAAAAGCAGAGTAATAGATGTTTGCCAGTCTAAAAGTTCAAGTATTTTTAGTAAGAGATAAGTAAAATGTAAAATTTTTATGATCATTTACACGTGACCAATGATGTATGAAGTTGTTGAAGTTTTATCTTCTGTTGCAGCAAAATATTTTTTGGTCAGAGCAGCAAAAGTTTTCAAAAGTAGAAAAAAGAGGAATGAGTTACTAATACTTTGTGATACATACATTTTATATGATCGAAAAATCAAAAGTAACAGTAGGAAACACACCAATCACTGTTTGATAAAAATAATTTTTCAGAATATATTATATATGTTTGTCATGAAAGATTTCACTTCTTTCGAGGTATATTAAATATTAAAGCTTATCTTTAGTTATATTAAAGCTTATCTTATTTAACTGAACATAAGCCTATTAAATTTTAAAGATTATTATCTTCATTTGAATTTAAAAAAAAATGGGCATAAACTTCTCTACAAAATAAGTACAAAACATACCCCTTTAGAACATTTTTTGTGGCAATAACTGAGAATAAGAGCTAGCCTGTGCGAAGCCATTAATGTTAGTATCATTATCCATTAGTACCAATAATGCTAGTATTACTTGTTGGTTTGGTTTGGGTTGGGTTGGTTTATGTATATCTAGCTAGAAAAAAAACACTCAACTAACTGGACCAGAACCGTTCTGCTTCTTATGGGGATCAACCAACTTAGAGCGGAACTTAAGAACCTAGTAGACCCTATCTGTAAACTGGAACCCAAGTAGCATTTGGACGTTATCTAACGTCGGGTATACGTCGCGTTCAATAAACCCGACGTCGGGTACCAACGTCGGTTCGACCGCCTGACCCTTATTTGCACCTAAATGGGGAATACAGATTCGGGTCGCTTCGACGTCGGTATCTGACCTAATAGGGAATGTAATTCTACCAATTACCAACGTCATATTACGTTGGATTTTAG